GTTTACTTCTTTTGTGGCTTTTTAGCTAGCAAATTCTCTCTCTCTCTTCTCTCTCTCTCTCTCTCGTCTCTCTCTCTCCCCCCCCCCCTCCCCGTCCTCCCTCCCTCCTCTCTCTCTCTCTCTCTCTCTCTCTCTCTCTCTCTCTCTCTCTCTCATTCCCTAGCTGTCAGGAAATGAGAAGCCTCTGCCATGAGTTCCCTGATTCACCACAGGCCCAGGTACACAGAGCCAAGTGACTATGGGCGTTCACCTCTGGTACTCTGAGTCCAACTGAATAACACCTTCCTCTAAGTTGTTTTTTTCTGGTATTCTGTCATATTGTTGCAAAAGCAATTAACAAAAGGAACAGAAAATTAGAAAAAACAATAGTCAAATGAGAAGCCTCTGCCATGAGTTCCCTGATTCACCACAGGCCCAGGTACACAGAGCCAAGTGACTATGGGCGTTCACCTCTGGTACTCTGAGTCCAACTGAATAACACCTTCCTCTAAGTTGTTTTTTTCTGGTATTCTGTCATATTGTTGCAAAAGCAATTAACAAAAGGAACAGAAAATTAGAAAAAACAATAGTCAAAAACATGTCCAATTGGGGGCTGGAGAGATGACTCAGCAGTTAAGAGCACTGGCTGCTCTCAAAGAGGACCTGGGTTTGGTTCCCAGACACCCACATGATGGCTGACAACCATCTACAACTCTGGTTCCAGGGTATCTGATGCCCTCTTCTGACCTCCACGGACTTTGCACAACACAGGTTCACCTACCTACATGTGAGCAATACACTCATACACATAGAATAAAAATAATGAAAAAAAATTTTTTTTAATGTTTGGGGCTGGAGAGATGGCTCAGCGGTTAACAACACTGACTGTTCTTGCAGAAGACCCGGGTCAGCACCCACATGGCAGCTAACAACTGTCTATAACTCCAGTCCCAGGGGATCCAACTGCCTCTTCTGACCTCCACCAGCATTGCACGACATGGGTGCACTTACCTACATGCAGGCAAAACTCTTCATTGAGTTTGCCATCCCATTTATATACAATGTGATGGTTATTTAAACTAGCTTTGAAACATTGGATTATAACATAATGATATTGAAAGTCTCTAATGTATCACCATATCCACCTTTTAAAGAAGCTAACATTCGTAATATCCCTTCTATAGGTTTTGTCTTAGATTTCCAGAGTGTGAATGCCCATGAAACATTCAAATCTACATAGAATGTTTTCATCCATTAAAACAATATGCTACTTGTAAAGCATTTTAAGAGCTGGTTTATACCATGCTACATGGGTACACTTGCCTACATGTAGGCATAACACTCATATACATAAAATAAAAATAATAAAATAATAAAAATAAAATAAAATAAAACCTCGAATTTGGTAAAACAAACTTAAGAGATTCAAGCAGCCTGAAAACCCCAAGCAAAACAAACTCGAAAATACCTGCACCCAGATACCCATAATCAAAGAGCTGCACCACAGATAAAGTGAAAACAGCCCGAGGAGAATTCCTCGTTACAAAGAGAGGAGTACTAATCTAAGCAACTGCAGACCCTTCAAATCAGGTCAACCAGAGAAAGCAGGACACAACTTTGACAGGGTTAAGAGAAGCCGGCTGCCCAGAATCCTGACTTCTGGGGACACAGCTCCCTGGTGGAGTGCATGCTTAGCATGCTTGAGGCCCTGGGTTCAATCCTCAGCTCTGCAAATTATCTGGGGAGCTGTATCCTCAGCTTCCCACATTTTTCGTCATATCAGGAATCAAAGAACAACAGAAACGGTAAAGAACTGAGTAAACGGACGGAGCCTCTCTCCATTGGCCTGTTTAAAATATGTATAATGGCTGAAAGCAGAAAATAACCTCAGGATAGTTCTCAGTGTGAGTATAGAAAATCAGAATACAGCATAAAAGGAGGGGACTAGAGGGTATCAAGTTTCCACATCTATTCAAAGCAGTAAAATAGCAACTTGATTCCGAAAAGGCATGCATGTTCTATTTCCTAGAGCAAATACTAAGAGAGTTTAAAATAATCAGGCTGTAAGAATGTACCTTTTGACCATAGCTACACCATGTTAAAATTTAGGCTGACTCTAGTTTCTGAAATTATCAGGCAGTTGGCCCAGGGTATGGGAATGCCAGCTGGGTCCTGGTTATCTTGGGAACAGGTCAGAGCCATCCTAGAGTGCTCCTGCTAACTGCTGATTTATGGCTTCTGTGGGTTATGCTTGGCTTGCTTCTGGAAAATAGTAATTGTTGCTAACAGACTCAGGGAAGACTCAGGGAAACTTTAAAAGATCAGGTTTCTAGGATACAATTGCTATACAACAAAACCCCCTAGAGGGAACTTTGTGACCAGTAAAGGCAAGGTAAATAAAAAGACTGATAATGTCTGTTTATGAATGAGGAGGAGGGCATGCAGATGTACTATGGTTTGGGTCGGGGGTTTGGATGGAAAATTGTATTTTCTTATGTATTTCCTTGATAATGTTTGCTCAAGCTTAACACTCAATAATTAGCTTCTGTACTCTGCTTGCTTGCCTATCAACATGACCAATATAAAAAGAGCCAGAGTGCTTAGGCTCAGTGCTACTCTTGGACCCTTTAGGAAAGAGTGTAGCCTGGCTGTATAAATCTTTCCTTCTCTAGACTCACCTGTCAGTTTGTCTGTTTGGGGCATTTGCAGATCATAGACTATAACAGGGCCTGGAGAGATGGCTCAGTGGTTAAGAGCACTAGCTGCTCTTCCAGAGGACCCAACTTCAGTTCCCAGCATTCCCATTGGGTGGATCAGAACCGCCTGTAACTCCTGCTCCAGGAGATCTGACACCTTGGGCTACACGGGCATCTGCATACATGTGGCATACACAAACACACACACACAAACACACACACACACACACACACACAAACATGTAAAAAAAATCTAAATAAGAATAACAAATTAAATAAAATAAATTCAAGTGGGATACTAAAATTTATTCAAAGAATTCAAAAGAAAGCAGGAGAGGGTAAAGAGAGAAAAAGAGTGACCATTAGCCAGGTGTGGCAGTGCGCACTGATAATACCAGCACTCAGGAGGTGGAAGCAGGAGGATCAGAAATTCAAAGCCAGCCGCAAAGGGAGTTCAAAGCCAGCCTGTGCTATATAAGACTGTCTTTAAAAATCAAGAGTGAAGATGAAAAAGAAAAAAGGAAACCAAATATACAATAAAATTGGCTACTTGAATGCAAAAATATTAACAACTACATTTATGCAAATACTCAAAACAAAGGTTATAAAAAGAAAAAAAATTTTTTGAGACAGTCTCTCTGTACCCCAGCTGGTCTGGAACTCACTAATGTAGACCAGACTGGCCTTGACCTCAAAGAGATCCACCTGCCTCTGCCTCCCAAGTGCTGAGATTACACGCCTGGCCTAAAAATCTTTAATATTTTATTTATTACTTTTATTGTACGTGTATGAGTGTAATGACTGCACGTATATAAGTGCGCCCATGTCATTCAATGCCCATGGAAGTCAGAAGAGAGCACTGGATCCCCTAGAACTGGAGTTATACAATTGCTAGCTGCCATGTGGGTGCTGGGAACGGAACCCTAGTCCTCTGCAAGAGCAGCCAGCGCTCTTAACTCCTGAGCCATCTCTCTAGCCCCCTAAAATTTTTTTAAAAAATAATATCCAGCCGGGTATGGTGGTGCACACCTTTAATCCCAGCACTCGGGAGGCAAATCTCTGTGAGTTCAAGGCCAGCCTGGTCTACATAATGAGCTCCAGGGCAGCTGGGGCTACAGAAAGACCCTGTCTCAAAAAAAAAAAACAAAAAAAAAAACAATAATAATATCCAATGGCATTCATTTTATAAGAAACCCACTTTAGCCGGGCGTGGTGCACACACCTTTAATCCCAGGACTCAGGAGGCAGAGGCAGGCAAATCTCTGTGAGTTCAAGGCCAGCCTGGTCTACATAGTGAGCTCCAGGCCCGCTGAGGCTACAGGGAGACCCTGTCTCAAAAGCGCAAAGCAAACAAAAGAAAAGACTCTAGTGGATACTTTCTCCACAAAAATGAATACTTCTTTAGAAAACTGTAGAAATGTACTGAATTCATCTTCAACAACGGATGCTAAGTGAGAGCTACTCTGGACAGAAATGTATAGCCTTTCCTCACATCGTTAAAGCTAAGATTGAACTGTTAGACTGCAAACAGGCATCAGGCCAGCTACAACCCAGGGGCCAACCCTACCTGCTGCTCCTTCCTGTAAGCAGTTTTACTGGAACTCAATTACTGTACTCAATCATTTCCATACTTGCCTACAGTTTCTTTCACACACAACACTAGAAGCAAACAGCTGCAGCAGAGTCTGGCCCACAAAGCCTCAAGTAGCTACTACACTGCCCCACACAGAAAACGCTTACTGACCCCTGTTCTTGAGCAAAGGAGAATGCATCACTACAGCCCGCCCCGCAAAGACCCTGCAAGCTCCAGGTACCTTGTCTGAGAGCGATTCTGGGACCCGTTCCTCCTCTTTGTTTACTAAGGGACTGGATTCTTGCTTTGGAGGACCAACTTTTGATCTAGCCAGACTTAAAAATTCACTAATGGAATCTTCTTTCCTCTCTAGTTTGGATGTGTCCCATCTTGACAGTTTCCTGGATTCTGAAAGGTAGGTCACCGACACAAAACTGGAATTAGTAAACATAAAGCAATTCTTCAAGACTAATATTTCATCCAATCAGAACCTCAGAGCACCTTGCATACAGGGCACATGGCAAGGGCAAACAGACCTAACACAAGAGGAAATACCTGCCCCATAGCTACAAAGTGGATTCACAGATACAAGCAATTCTTGATAGAGAGTCCATATTATGCACCCACATAGGAACAGACCACGCCTTACTTCAGTCTTCCAGAATGTGAGGGTTGACCCCAGGTCAGCACATGGACCCTAATCTGCTTCTAGAGCCTGGTCAGCATCTAGAGCCCAGGTTGGCACTCGGACCCCAGTCAGCACCCAGACCCCAGGTCAACACCCAGACCCCAGTCAGTATCTAGATCCTAGTCAGCTCCTCCTATGCCCCATTCAGCACCTAGACACCAGGAAGCTCCAGAGCCCAGTCAGCACCTAGACCCTCGGCAGCTCTACTCACTGTCAGAGCCATGCTGCTGCTGTCCTTTCTCACTTGATACCGGCTTTGTAGGCAGAGAGGTCGGCTCTGGGAGTGTCAGGAAGTTGAAGACTGAGTATTTGTCGCGCTTCACTCGCGGTAAGCCAACTAAAGTTGAGCTGAGGGGGATGTGAAAACAAAAAGATGGAATTTTAGTAACACCTGCTAGGATAAAACCATTTTCTCTGATGCTTGCTGGCTCACATCAGCTCTGCAACTACAGGACAGGGTCCCCTGAGACACTGCCACTCCTCAAAGCAGTTCAGGAGCCCAGAATTGCTGACTTTAGAACCCATGAGGTTTTATTATTAGAGTAAGGGCTAGAACTTGAAACTTCAAAAGTAAATTCACACTAAGGAAAAGTTCCATGGCTAAAACATACACATTTGTCAAATGAAGTGTAGTTCACCTGTAGTTCAACATGCTTTCCGGCAGTGTTTCTAATCAAATAAGAAGGTGCTACTCTCTTTTATAAAGAGAGTAAGACAGCATATGGAACTGGGCTAAGAAGCGAACTCAGCAACAGAGTTCTCCTAGCACGCGCAAGGCCCAGGGTCTCATCCTGGCATGTACACACACACACACACACACACACACACACACACACACACACACACATAAATGAGAAGAAAACACAAGTAATGTTTTAGATATAAATTGCATTAAAGGCTGGAGAGATGGCTCAGCAGTTAAGAGCACTGGCTGCTCTTGCAGAAGATCAGAGTTAGCTTCCCAGCACCCACATAGTGGCTAACAACCATCCATGACTCCTATTCCAGGGGATCTGATGCCCTCTTCTGACCTCCACAGGCATTGTACAACATGAGTGCACTTACATACATGCAGGCAATATACTAATATACATAAAATAAAAATGATAAATAAAACATTTAAGAGACAGCCTGAGAGGGTGGGTTAGGACCTCTATTGGGATAGCAGCTCGGAGCTCAGCAGACTGCCAGGGAGTGCTGAGTTCTGGCCTCCCTCTGACCTCCAACTACCAGAAGGCCTAAGAACCTAGGAGACTAGGTGACAGCCCCCAGATCCTGCCTCCACATGGTGGTGAGCTTCTCCTAATTGCTCCATACCATCCCCCTACCTGGGATTTTGTGAGGCCCCTCCCAAGGTCCCAGGGTAGATCTGGCTTTGGTAGGCTAAGACTGAGATACTAGCAGACAGCCTGAGAGGGTGGGTTCAGCCCTCCATAGGTGTAGCAGCTGGGATCTCAGCAAACCACCAGAGGGACGACTTCTGGCCCGCCTCTGGCCTCCCTCTGGCTTAGGGTTGAAAATGCACAGGACTGCCTGAGAGAGCCCAGATCCTGCCTCCACATGGTGAAGGAAGCCTGAGTGTACCTGACTGGAACCTGAATTGGGCTTCTGTGGGTAACCCTGAATAGCTGATCTGAAGCCATCAGTTCCTTCCAAAATAAATCTGAGAGAACCTGAACCTGCACCAACCAGCTCTACATAACCAACAAAGAAAGGACCTAGGCACCCAGATAATACAATCAGAAGCAAACTTCAACTTAATTCTCATATCAGAATCATAAACAACAAAAGAAATTCACACGGCAAAACCACAACAAAAGAATAATAAAATGGAAAGTCAAAACACTGTGTCCCCACCAAACTCCACCAATCCTGTAGAAGAGTTCTACAAGGAGAACCCCTAGAGATAACCCAGGACACTGAATTTAAAAGAACAATCATAAACATGATCAAGGGAGTCAACAAACTTAAAGAACACATGAACAAACAAATCAAAGACCTAAAAGAAAATAGAGGTAAACTTCTGAATGAATTCACAAATGGGATAGAAACATTGAAGAAAACTCAGGTAGAAATGAAGAGGGAAATACAAAACTCAACAAGCCAACTTGAAACAACAGGGGAAAGACTCACCTCTAGAACAAATGCAATGGAAAACAGAATATCAACACTGGAGGATAAAGTTGAAGAATTGGACCACTCAAGCAAAGAGTACAGAAAATTTTAAAAAACACAGAAATGGAATATGCAAGACATGTGGGACACCATGAAAAGACCAAATCTACGGATCATAGGAATAGAGGAAGGAGAAGAATTTCAGGTTAATGGTGTTGACCAGATCTTAAACAGGATTGTAGAAAAGAATTTCCCCAAATTAAGGAAAGACATCCCCATACAAATACAGGAAGCACATAGAACACCAAATAGACAGGATCAGAAAAATTCCCCACGACATATCATAGTAAAAACAGTACATGTACAGAACAAAGAGAGAATACTGAAAGCAGCAAAAGAAAAACAACTAGCATATTGCGGGGGGGTTCGAACCAGTGACCCCCGGGCAGTGATGATTGGGGATGAGTAAGCACGT